CTTTTAATTGAGTAGATGATGAAATATAAATAAACAGCAATATATGTGTATAAATATATAAATAATAATTTTGATGCAGCTTGCTAGGAATAGAAATGCTTACCCTTGCAGCAAGAAGGAACGCCATGTCGGGAATGTGTTTCGCTTTGAAGAGGATGGCACTAAGAGCGACTCCAGGGAAGATATAAGAGTTGTTTCCTTGACCGGGTTTGAAAAGCTTTCCATTATACTTCGACGTCGTCAAAAGGGTGACCCAGAGGCGAACAAGACTGTTCCCTGAAATCAGATACATTAATTTCTCGTTTGTTTCCAAGCAACAGTCGCTGTTAAAAAGACGTCCAACAATTTCTGGTCACTTATAATACAATACAGACATTAATACTATTTTTGTTTGGTCCCCAAGGAGACGACGAATTTATGATAGGGTACAGGATCAAATTGGTGCGTTCTCGATCACGAACATGGAATTGGTGAGGAGTGGGTCGGCAGGTATGAAAAAAGGGAAAAGAATCTTTCGAAAACGCGATGGCTCCACTATGCCAAGGCAGTGACAGTCTGAGCACGGAGGAGAGAGGGTACGCGAAACAGTGCGAAGAGTGGGAGAGTGCTACACATTAGCATGAACAGGAAAATGGAAGCGCTTGAAGCGGTTTTAGCAAGGGTTAAGCGCCTTCATTGCACAGTTTAGAGCCGGGAAAGCGAGAAATATGATAACATTGTGAGCAGCTCTATCCTACCCACTTGAAAAATCAATGAAACGGAAAAATTTAAACTCCTATAGATACGTCTCCTCACAACGAGTTCCAGGATGTGTTATGGGTCGGGATCGGTTAAGTAGGTCACCAGCTTTACCTTTTAAGCTGGGCCAAAATCCAATTCTGACCTCAAGGTAGAACACCATTCGTTAGATCCCATGTTTATGTGCACAGTAGTCTACCGCTCGCACACTCCTCCTTTTTTGATGCATTTTTATCCATGTTTCACAGTCGTTCCCGATGCGAACGAGCTCTTCAATTTACGACTTGCTTTCGTTTTGCATCATAGGAATTTCGAAAAACTCGAAAAGGCTGCTACGCGTTCGAATTGCCCACGGACGTCTTTCACGAATGCTGGCGACGGGGATGCTCAAACTTGGTCCTTGGAGTGCATTCACTAGA